TATGACAGGTACAGACACGTGAGATAGCTGTCATAATCCACCCAAGCCTCACCTGTCGACAGAAACGACAGTGAATTTTCTTCCATCTATCTATCCCAGGAAACCATCTCCTTAAACACGAAAAATGATAAAATAATACAATTCACTACAAGACATCGTAACCCTGATCTACCACAATATTTTTTATACCAAGGTCGTGTTGTTGGAGGGTGGGGAGGCTACGTTATTCTGTCTGTCTGTTTATCCTCCTCACGCCATTGTTATATATGTGGGACAAAATTAGTTAGTTTTATTTTATTTTCTCAAAGATCTCTCTCTCTCTCTCTCTCTCCCCCTCTGCCTAATGCTATTCTTTCCTCACCACCCCCCCTACCTCCGTCACCCACCACCCCCTCTACCTCCGTCACCCACCACCCCCTCTACCTCCGTCACCCACTACCCTTTCTACCTCCGTCACCCACCACCCCTCTACCTCTCCTCCGTCACCCACCACCCCTCTAACTGTCACCCACTACCCTTCTACTCCGTCACCCACCACCCCTCTACCTGTCACCCTCTACCTGTCACCCACCCACCCCTCTACCTGTCACCCACCTCCGTCACCCACCACCCTCTACCTACCCCTCTACCACCCCTCTACCTGTCACGTGTCACCTACCTCTTCTGTCACCCACCAATTTCTACAGGGTCAAACCTCCATCACCCACCACCCCCTCTACCTCTCCCTCCCCCAAAGTCAATTACAGGTGAGGGTCAGTTATCATGCCAGACGGGTCGTAATTATGACGTATACACAGGACAATAACACTCAGTAATAAGCGGTTAGCGCTAACACACACCTCTGGGGGTCACCTGTCCACCTCCACCGTTTTTCAAGGATCGTACGTTCATTTTTTCCTCGTAAGTGCAAGTGTAAGAACGTATCTGACCGACTGACTTGTGGTTCAACTTACAAAGGTCTGAAATGGCTGAAAGAATTACACTTGAGATTCTGCCTTAAGTTCTCCACGATTGTTTGTGTTGATAAATATATACCTCTTGTGTGTCTAGGTCGATTAACTAGACACGTTCACTTAACACTGAGACTCTATACGTTCACTTAACACTGAGACTCTACACGTTCACTTAACACTGAGACTACACGTTCACTTAACACTGAGACTACACGTTCACTTAACACTGAGACTACACGTTCACTTAACACCAGTTAGGAGACAAGAATATCGTAAAGAGGGACTCGGGAGGAACACACATTATCGGACTCGGTAATTTGACGCTGAATTACATTTGATTATCACAGTACAGTACAGTACAGTAGGTCCGCAGTATTGGCTACAATTAACTTAGCTGAATCACCTTACTGAAAGATATTCACGGCTGACTGTACGACTTTTGTGCCTAGGGAGGTGGTGGAGCCCCGTGGAGCCCCAGGGAGGGTGGTGGAACTTCAGGGAGGGTGGTGGAGCCCCAGGGAAGGTAGTGGAGCCCATGGGAGAGTGGGAAGGTGAGGTTAGGTTAGGTTAGGTTAGGTTAGGTTTTAGAACAATGCGTCGTAATTCACTTAAGGGTTTTGGTAGTGAAGATGACGTATCGTTGAGGACAAAAACCCCAAGAAGGTAATAATGGTTGGGGGCAGTCAGGTGAGACGAGAGCGGTCAACTGGGCCCTGTCCTGGTAGGCCCCAACCTAATCACACCTAACCTGCTGACATGACCTAACCTGCTTTAACCTGCTGACATGACCTAACCTTACCTTACCCAACCTAACTTAACCTAACCTACTCTGACATGACTTAACCTTACGGTGGAGGAGAAAGCCAGTGATGGTGAAAAAGGCTGGTGGTGTAGAAGAATGTTGGAGGAGGCTGGTGGTGGAGGAGTGGAGGAGGCTGGAGGCTGGTGGTGGAGGGGTGGAGGAGGCTGGTGGTGGAGGGATGGAGGAGGCTGGTGGTGGAGGGATGGAGGACAGAGATGGAGTACAGTAATTGTTTTCCCGTCATAATAACGGGTTACACTTCCGCCCCTATACGGTGACACAACGAGTGGGTGGCCCAGTCCAGGTCCTGAGGGCAAGTGGTAAGGGGCAGGTGAGAGAGAAGCAGGGGGCAAGTGGTAGAGGCAGGGAGGGAAGCAGGTGAAAGGAGCAGCAGGGCAGGGGGCAAGTGGTAGGAGGAACTGGAGGAAGAGGGCAGGTGGGCAAGGGGCAGGTAGATGGAAGGAGGGGAAATTGGCATATGGAGGGGAGGGAAAGGCGACAGATGGTAAGGGAAGCTTCAAGGGGGGAGGAAAGGGGGGGTGGAGATATGGATGGAGGGAAGGAAGGAAGAATGGAGGGATAGGAGTCGGAAGAAGGCAGAGGGAGAGAGGAGGGATAGGAAGTAGGAAGAGCAAGGGTGGATAGGAAGGGGAGAGAAGGAAGAGAGGGAGGGAGGGTAGCCTAACCTCTTGTAAATAGCCTATAATTACGGTAGGCTACACACGTGGTGAGAGAGAGAGAGAGAGAGAGAGAGAGAGAGAGAGATCTTAATCGCCACACTTCACCCCTCTCCCCACTCAATCTTCAATCTCAACCATCCACGTGATTGGCCGATCAAACATAACTACTCGATCGTGATTGGCCGATCAGACATTACTACACGACCGTGACATCAGTAATTGGTTCGAACCGGGGAACTGAAGGTGTAACCCATCACAATCACACACCTACGCCAGCAGAGATGGACTGAGAAATTAAAGATAATTGGCAACCTTTTCACCCCTCGAGGACGATGACTTAACCCCTTGAGTACGAGGTATCATCCCCTTGCACAGGATGACAAGGGGGTGCCCAATAAACTAATCCCCTCGGGGGCAATATATATATATATATATATATATATATATATATATATATATATATATATATATATATATATATATATATCCCCCTTGAGTAACGTGTGTGTGTGTGTGTGTGTTTGGTGGATCACGAGGAGACATAATACAATATAAAGTATTGTGGTGGGTGGGAGTTTAGGACCCCAAAGTTAGGTTAAGTTAGGTTAGATTTTGACCGCGCACCCGTGTGATCATCTTGTTGGTGTTATCATGTTATCTCATAACAGTGTCATCAGTCTGTTATCACTGCACGTTATTGTTTAGTTATCTTGTGGTGGATGTTGTAAGTCACCTGTTGCCTCCCACCTAACCTCACCCTAGGGGCCTCAGTTGCAAGGTTGGGGTGAACACTAAACACAACATTATTATTCTCCTCCTAATCCACATTTTATCAAGAAGCGCTCAACACACTGACCCTCTCGGCTCTCACTGATCATCACCATGACCCTCTCGGCTCTCTCTGATCATCACCATGACCCTCTCGGCTCTCTCTGATCATCACCATGACCCTCTCGGCTCTCTCTGATCATCACCATGACCCTCTCGGCTCTCTCATCACCATGACCCTCTCGGCTCTATCATCACCATGACCCTCTCGGCTCTCTCTCCCATGACCTCTCGGCTCTGACTCTGATCATCACCACAGGATCTCACCATGACCCTCTCGGCTCTCTCTGATCATCACCATTCTCGGCTCACCATGACCCTCTCTCTCTCTCCCCAGATCATCACCTCGGCTCTCTCTAATCGTCACCATCGGCTCTCTCTGATCATCACCATGACCTTCTCGGCTCTCTCTGATCATCACCATGACCCTCTCGGCTCTCTCTGATGTTACAAATGTTATCTCTGTCTCTCATTATCTCTCTCCCGTTATCACTATTTACGTTACTTTCCTCCTTATATATCACATCATCTTTATTTAATTAACTTTTTCGTATGGGTACCTGACTCTGCCGTTTGGTAAGTGAAGGCGGTCGAGTACAGTGCCTAGATCCAACGCCCCAAAGTTATTAGTAATGAGGTAAGTGCATTGGCGCTGTTCCCGTGTGGCCAGGACACTCCTTCGCTACTACTATTATTACCATTATTATTATCACAATCCCCGTTAACGCCTCAACAGGAGGAACTTCACAACAGCCCAACACATCAGTTCCGTTAATAGCGTCAGCCCGTTTGGAGGAGGCAGAGCTGACATCATTACCCAGCCGCTGACGGACACACCTAGCTAAGACTGTCAGCCACACTCATTATCTACCTCACACCTGCTGCTTCGAGGCCCGCTGACAGCTCCTGACAGTCAGCACCTCTACCATGGGGAGGGGGGAAGGGAGTAGAGACCACCAGCTAACATTTACAGCGTCAGCTCCATATAAATGCCTTCGTATGTCTACCTACAGCTCTCCAAACGTTTAAGAGCTGACAGATTCAACTTGTATCTGGTCATGGCTGATGTGCTCTCACCGGTGATCCAAAAGTTAATATCTAGTGAAGGTAAAGTCAGTGTAGTGTCGTGCCCTTGTTTCACCTGGGCAGCTGCTGACCTTACCTGGGGCATCACTGTATACCTGAAGGCTTGTGGCTATTACCGCCGGGCTTTTATCAGTACCCGATATATTGTAATAACCTGTCAGTGTTGTGAACTGTTGTAGTAACCTGGTAGTATTTGAACTAGTCAACACACAAGGAAACATCTCACCTGACATTGCCAACATCTGATGACCTTACCAACACTGACAACTTTACCAACTCTTGACAACAAAACTAACCTAACTTCACCCTCCAAATAGTGTTAGGGTGGTTAATTTTCAGGTGAAATAAGCTGGGGTGGAGATTCTTCAGGTGAGCCAATTAACCTGTGGGTCTCACCTGTGTATCATTCTACTGATGGTTAAGGAAAGTATAAATCTATAATGTGGAAATGTATCGATGTATATCATAGTGTATAGTGATGAGACTGATGACAGACGGTGTATATCTACTGTACTGTAGGTGACATCCACGCGCCGAAGTATATGATGTCAGTTTAGAGGTGTGTATGATGACAGTATATTAGATGTGTATTAAGACGGTGTATATAATGAAATAGACAATTTATGAGATAACTATTGGGGGTTGACTCACCGCAGTCAGTGTGTGATCCTGAGAGATACTGACGAATAATGTGAGAGGCGGTACACAGCTCCCTGATGCTGCTGCCCCATATACCCTCCCTCCCTCTCCCTCACCACACTATCAACACTCCCTCACTCTCTCTAATGAACTTATTTCCCTACCACCACCACTAATACTACAAGCTCTTCTCAGTACAAGGATTGGAAGCCATGTTTAAGAGTCATCCCAATCTATGAACTAATCAGATTGGTTAAGTAAGGGATACTCCTCCTAGCTACGGGTCAACCCTCACCTCAAACGATTCATTATACTAATATTTCTTCATATTTTACCGGAGGAGGATTTCTAATGCGGTGTTTTCTTCATCTATGTCAAATATAGTTCGCTGTGGGGTATTCTGAGTGTCTTGGTGTATGACAACGTCCATTTGTATTCAAGGGTCAGAGCTAGACGAGGCACATCCTCCCACCCACGACTCACAATAGCAAACTAACGTCTCGGAGAAATATTCACTGTTTGGATCTGACAATAGATCGTACAGATGCCAATGTAAACAAATCAATCTTTTCTCTTTATGGAATACAAAACGGTTTTAATTAATCGTACGCTATTTATATATAATATATTTTCAATATATCTCAAAAGTAGTTTTATAAATGAAAGATAGTGTTAGAATTTAAAGAGAAAGGTACAATGACTCATACGTCCGACAGTGGTGTGACGACAGACCTGGCGGCACCAAGTCTGCGCAAGAAAGATGCGCCTCTCTCAGATACACTCGTGTGAGGGTACCAAATCGGGGTTTCTTAACAGCATTAATTCATTGACTAAGACGTGAATTACAACCTGCCAACTACACTAAGCTGTAAATAGAGGCATAAATGAAGCGAACGACACGATAAAAACAGTGAGAGAGGGTGAGGAGGAGTAATAAGTAAAAGAGGATTTAAGAAAAGGTCATAATAAAGATGGGTGTTGAGGAGGCGGAACCAGATACAAAAGGAATGCCGAGATTTTCAACTATCTCGGCTACTCTTGTGTCAACACATGTAAAGTGACCTGACATTTAAATCTTTCTCTTAAATACCAACTTTAATGCTTCCTCAACATGTGGTTGAGCTCGAGGCATTGGCGATTGTATTTAGATATATAGTAAAATTGTCGTACAAGTTAACAGTGATTCAGCATGTATATATACGATGCAGGAGACAATATACGAGTACAGAGACAGTGCTGCAGGTATACAAACAATGTAAATGGGTTGCAGTGCAGGTACCACGCACCATCAACACAACAGACCATAACTACAAGCTCACCAAGTTATCAGACAGAACGAGTATAAGGAAACAATTCTCAGAGGCTGGTGGAATCAAAAACTGTACAGAACTGGGTTTCAAAATAACCCTTGACAAAATTATCAAGAACGGAGGGATCCTACACTGGCCACCTCTAGTGAGTGGCCATTGGGTATACAATGCACATAAACAGTGCAGGTATGCAATGTACATAGTGCAGGTAAATAGAAAATGTGTATAGCCTGTGTAAACATTGGTCACGAGGTCCTGTACACACACACGGGGTCTCGTACACACACACGGGGTCTAGTACACACACACGGGGTCTAGTACACACACACGGGGTCTAGTACACACACGCACGGGGTCTAGTACACACACGGGGTCCAGTATACACACGGGGATCTAGTACACACGCACGGGGTCTAGTACACACACACACGGGGTCTAGTACACACACGCACGGGGTCTAGTACACACACGCACGGGGTCTAGTACACACGCACGGGGTCTAGTACACACACGGAGATCTAGTACACACGCACGGGGTCTAGTACACACACGCGGTCTAGTACACACACACGGTCTAGTATACACACATGGGGTCTCGTACACACGGGGTCTGCGTGATTGAATGCTCATTATCTTTTGTCAATCAGCTGAGCCACGCCCACACCGCCCGCCAGGATGACTCTACCACATGACCCATCACCCACAGGCCGAACCAAGACCTCCGCCCCCACGCCCACTCCCTACCACCACCACCCTCCAATAATACGGTGGTGTTGCTCTCACACCTTACTCAAACACCGCTGAACACATGAAGGCAGGTTGTGTTGACAGAGCGGGCCGAGTCAACGTAGCCTTTGCCTTGTGTCAACACCGGGCACACAGTGGGCGTGGGCGTCACTCTCCGGGGCACCGAGAGGCTCCTACCCGATGCCCACCTGTTATAAATGCCCACCAGGGATGCCATTGTTAAAATGTTTTTATTATTTTTTTAACATAATCTCGCTCAATTTAACCGGTCCTAAACTAACTTAACCAAATCTATACTAATTTAACTTATCCCAAACTAACCTACACTACTAACTAAATCTAATCTAATTCAACCTAACCTGACTTTATCCTAATCTTCACCTATCATTACTTAGGCTAACCAAATTGATTCGGTACCAGTAATGGGTTATGTTCGATTAGGTCAGGTTAGGCTAAATTAGGTTGAAAGGTTGGAAATAGTTAGATCAGGTTAGGTGAGGTTAGTTAGCCAGAATACAATACCTAAGAGTGAAGTTGCCCTCTAACGGGTTAAGGTCAAGATATGTTATGATATGTTATGATAGAATATGTTATGTTATGATGTTATGATAGAATGTTATGTTTGGAAAGGTAAGGGTTTTTTTTGGACACTCCCCTACATCCTTGTGTAAGGTGAAGCGCAGAAGCGTTTACAGCGCCCAACAGGGAAGCATGCTGAGTTCATGCTTGCCTTTATGTCTCATGAGTTAAGGGCGTAGAAGAAAGGTTGAGGAAAGTTAGGATAGAATAGGGAGGGAGGCGTCAGAAGGCCACTGTGATGACCCCGGCTGGCGGGATGTGGCCTTAATGTATACAACCCCTCACATTGCTCACCAGGGAGGGAAGGTGGGAGGAAGGAAGGAAGGGTGTGAGGAGGGGGGATGAGAGGGAGGGAGCAGCGTGTTGATCCTCCACTTCAGCCGTCGAGGATGAGTGCTGCTTCACCCATATTAAGGTGAGAGAGGCGCTACAAGCTCACCTGTTGATACACACCCTCACCCACCCTCCCCCTCACCCTTATATTCACCTTCCTCTTATTCCCTCACGGTGAGGGGTGAAGACCTCACCCCTCATCCTCTCCCTCACTTAACATAACCTAACTAAACCAATAAACCCGAGGACTGATTGATAAGTACGTAGTCGTATCAGGTAGGTATCATGCAGGTCTCAGGCAGGTATCAGGTAGGTATCATGCAGGTCTCAGGCAGGTATCAGATAAGTAAACACAAGCTCAACTCCCGCGCATGTGCAGCCTCGCGCCAACCACAACATAAACACACCGAGAATCTATTGCCTGTGTACGACCCAGGTGGAGGTGCATTGTGGGAGAAGGAAATACTACGACTACTACTACTCATAATAATCTGTTGAAAAGGGCAATTAAGTATTATTATTATTATTAGTAGTAGTAGTATCATCACTACCGGTATAATCATCATAAACATTGCTACGTAACTGTGTGTGTGTGCTACAAATAAGAGGGGATGAGGGGTGCCCGGTGTTACGGTGGCCACAAGATGGTTGGCCACTTGTGTGAATCATAGTAATGGCCACACAAGTAGATAATGGGAGGTAATGCATGGTGATGGTGGCCGAGCGGTGTTGTGGGGATCACGTGCCTGGCCACCCCCCCCCCCTTACTGGAGAGAGATATATATACACACACACATATATATATATATATATATATATATATATATATATATATATATATATATATATATATATATATATATATATATATGTTACGACCGTGTCGTATTTTTCTATTTTTTTTATATAACATGCTTCCATGTTGCTCCATATTATTCCTGTAATGATGTGTTATATTACTATTATATAATCTAGTCACCTTACCCTGTGCTGTTAAGGTTTTACCTGTTATTATTTGTTCAAGCCCATCTTATTTCTTCATTTAGTATTGTAACAAGCATTCTTTGTTGCTCTAACGACCATCTGCATCGTTAAACGACCCACCGGCGGGAAAAGGCCCTATACAGTATATAGTGGTCCACCAACTGAAGGCAGTTCAGTCCTCTTGTCATACAGTTCACATCCTTTGAGTGCCATCCGTCACCTGTTATTATACTTCATTTATTTGTGTTGTTCCTGTCGTCACCAATGTGGTATATCTATGTGAGTACCTATTTATGTCTCTATTTATGTTCATCAGTATTTGCTAAGTTACATTTAAGTAATTCAGTGTTGTTTCACGTTAGTTAATTTCGGTGTTAGTTTTTATATGTTTATGCAGTGTTAACGTAATCCAATGCTTTATTTTTATTCTTTTGATGTTTCGATGTTTAGTATCATTTGTGTCTTAAAAGTTTCGATGGTGAATCAATTTGTTGTGACAGCCTACGAGGCTCTTTATTGTGTTAATATTTAATTAATTAACTTCTTAAAGGTTTACTTTATTTATTTTTATTCCCTTTTAATTTACTTCACTTTTTTGTTTGGTTACGCCTAGAACCTGGATATTTAAGTAAATTAAGAGACGGCGTAACAATATATATATATATATATATATATATATATATATATATATATATATATATATATATATATATATATATATATATATATATACAATCAGCAATGTGTGTACAGTACAATACACACGGTATAGCTGTGATGGTGGTAGATGTTGGTTGGTAGATCAATAAGTAGACAATTACTTTAAACGGGATGAGGGCGACCAACCAACACACACACGCAGCTTAGGTCTTCTCAATAGTGTTATGAGGTGAAGGCGATAGAATGATCACCCGCCCCCTTGTATACAGTGTGTGCGCGCGCGCGCTATAGAAATAATATCAGTAAATTGTCCGAGGAAGGTCTAAAACCTTTCAGTGGTTGACAGGTGGCAGTGAGGCTACCATTGCCCGGGTCGGGCCGTGGCTGTACAGTCACCCCTCAACAGGAATGAGCCACTGAACGCTAACCTTCACTACTGGTCGCCAGCTTTAAATTTCCGAAAGAATTGGTGGAACAATTTGGGGATTTC